GATGAGCTTCTTTAACCTTTTTCCCACAGAATAAACAGCGGGCATCGCTCTTACAAGATTTGCTGATATGTCCAACTCTAAAACAAGAATAACAGTTACGGACACGAGGAACGTAAGGCGACACAGTATGACTAATCTTGAAAAGATAAACATATTTAGGCAATTTTTGCCCTTCAAACTTGACACATATAGTACGGGAAGGAACATATACAACCTTGCCGTCCACTTTAGTTCTCCGATTAAGGCGAGAGACCTCAACGACCTTGCAGGGTGAGCACAAGGACTCTTATATCTTTTCCACATCAATTTCCTGCGGCACATCCTTGATAATGCCTGTACGCAAAACTCTATGCAGTGGTATAAACGCTTTGAGGTTATGCTTAGCGAGAGAATTATTTGTGACAAGGTTATTCGCAGCGGTGTAAGATCGAAGTTCAACACTAATTTTTCCCTTGCCGTTCTTTTTGGTCTCAAGGATATCATTACCTATAATACTGACCAGAATGCTACCGACAACTGTCGGGTGTAAAGGCGCGGGGACTGAGCCAGAGTCATGATCACCGTTCGTACTTACCGAATGAACATGTACTACGTAAGGCGGGAGGTCTTTATTATTATACATACGGTGCCTGACTGAGGTTTTCAGCATATTATCCTCGCCCGGTGTTGTCGGAGGAAACGATACCGACGCCCTCTTCTCAACAGCAGAGACGTTACTTGCGTTGTCTATGGGCGCATTTTCCATGCTAGTAAGAATCCTTGTTGATCTGTAAGGCTTCTTAACGGAGGATGACAGGCCTGAAGATTCCAAATTCCTCTTGCGTGACAAAATCAGAGGGTCAATGTCCATGTCACAGCTAGCTCGATCATCGATCTCTTGCACAAAAGTGCAAGAGTCACCGTTAACGCTCGAATCTTGCGCGTGCGCGTAGTCAATATTTCTTAAGATTTCCCGCGCGTCAGAGATATCCTCTGAATCAAAAGAAAACGGAGATGAAGGAGCGGAGGAAGGAATGATGTGATCAGGTAGAGTTAAGCGGCCCTCGACAGGCTTAAAGGCACTGTCGCCAGAGTATAAAGTTCCGCCACCGTCTTTAGACTGAGAGGGAAAAGGGACGCTCGCGTCCGAGCGTCCCCCCTCCCCCCCGCCGCCGGGGGACAAGCCCCGGTGCATAAAGTTCGCAATCACTAAACTACACAACCAAGCAGCTCGCGCGCACAGAATAAGAGAAGCCCTGCACGAAAGCAGGGACAAGACCCAAAAAAACCCGCACCGAAACAACCACCAAACACAGACGAAAACGCAGGACACACCGAAAACACGTCTAACACACAGCCGCTGCGCGCGCCTCCTCAACGCAATCACGTGATCCATACATGTTGCTGTGTGTCGCGGGTTCGGGTATTCCCATCTCTACGGGCCGTAACGTGCTACGAATAGTATATAGGTGAAACAGGTGAAGTTAATCCACTTAACCCACTATATTAAAGGTATGCATTTACGCACGTAAGTAAAGTTACAACTTACAGCTTACACATAAAACTATTCGATACTTATTTAGAATGCTCTCCTAGCCTCAAATCTTAATAAAAATGTGCTTACTCATTCGTCTTGTATTTATTAAATCTGTTTGCATTGCTTGTACTTTTTTAACTCAGCATCTTCGCTTTCTCTCTTCAACGCCCAAATATATATCTATTTCATTTTAAGTTTAAAAATTTTTGGGGATTTCAACGCGAATAAATTTACGAAAGAATTTAGCAGAAAAACGCGATGGTCTGCCTAGCAAAACAAATTATTAAGCGTTAAAGTTCGAGACTTTATATATAAAGGATAAGATATCTCTCATAACATTTTAATTCAAGAAAGTAGCAACGAATTAATTGTATGTGATAAGAGAAAATAGTTATATTGTGTGAACCGAGATAAATTATGATTCTCTAAGTTTAATTTTACTCACCGTTTTGTTTTTTAGTTAGACTTACTAATTTTTAAGTTTGATAAGGACTTAATACGAAGTCGAAATATATGTATTGTTTATATGAATTAAATTATTGTTAAGAAATTAACATTAAACAGCTTATTTTGGGTCGTAGCTCTTTAATTTAAAATTTGATTATTAATCTTATTTACACAGCCTTATAGATTTGTTTTTAATTTTATAATTGAGGTCAAGTTTATAGAAATATTTACGCTAATGAATTATTTTCTGTTTTTTCTCATAGCGAATTCGATTAGACGCACTCAGTACACACTGCATATGAAAACATAATTTATGTCGTACATAAATTAAAATAACGTAAAGGGATATATATTTATTACGTAGAAATTGGTACCGTGCAATTCACATTTTTACACGTAATTATGTAATTTACGTACTTTTTATTTATAATATATCTATATTCGTGCAAACATTTATTGTTGATTTTTATAATTTAGAAATAGAGTCAAACAATGGATAAGGAAGTATCTCAATCTTTGAATGAAAATAAAATTGGAAAAATGCCATGGCCAGCATATGCAAAGATATTTGAATTCCAAGAAAAACTTGGAAATGACAAAAATTTGGCATTTTTGTGCAAAGTTTGCATCGGCAAGAAAATCATACATGCAAACAAAACTTCTACTTCCAATTTAAGAAAGCATGTGAATGTAAGTCTCCTTTATTAATATGTTCTTTTATTAACAAAATTGTTGCTATTTACATAAAGTTAAGATTATTTTTTAGTATTGATGGATTATCATACATCGAATTAAATCTATATTTTTATATATAATCATTGTTATTCTGATAAACTTAGAGAATAAATATGACTAAATATTGAAAGCAGAGAATAATAAATAATAAACAAAAAATACCTAATTTGTTTATTGAGAAACGATAATTTTTTGTAAGACAAAGAAATTAATAATTAATAATATAATTGAATTACAGACTCTTATATATTTCAAAACAATTACAAAAAATTAAGTAAAAACATAAAAAGCTATTAAGAGTCATAAATATATTTGCGCACTGTTGACAGCGTTGACTCTTAATAGCCTTTTATGTTTTTACTTAATTTTTTGTAATTTTGTAAGACCTTCTACACTCAAATTTTTCGCTTATTTAAATTAAAAAAACCTATTATATTAAAATTAATTTTTTTGTAAAAATTAGCAAAGACTTCTCGTACCTTTAATTTGGAATTTGTTTTCAATGCTATTCAATCTTAAATTAAATATATATACAATAGTAAGTATAAAAAATTAAAGCTAGAATAAGTGAATGTTTCTAATTTAAACAATTTATAATATTTATAGGTAAAACATCCACACATGCTGGAGATCATAGATAAAGAAAAAATTAAATTGTTAAAGAAACGTCCAAATGAAAATTCCGAAAATAATAATCCAAATAAATATCATAAATTGGAAAGATGGGGCGCTGGGAGTTCAATGGCTACTCAGAAAGGACTGGATAAAGCAATACTACAGTTTATTGTTGAAAATGTTCAACCTCTGTCCATTGTAGATAGTCTATCGTTTATAAATTTGATTAGAATTGGACTTCCTTCACATATCAATATAATGTGTAGAAAGACATTAAAAGAAAAACTTTGTCAAATGTATCATACAATGAAGACTGCCCTAGAAAAAAAGTTGATAGGAATAGAGATAGTTGCGACAACGGCAGATTTGTGGAGCAAAGGAAAAAGGTATAATATGTGTGTATAACTTATATATTAATAAACTTTATTGAAAAATAATGCCAAAAATGAACTAACAACAATGGATATTAAAATAATATTAATTGAATTTAATGTATGATATACATTAAAAATTTAAGCGAAACTAGTTTTGACTTTACAAAGTCTTTATCAGTCGTATATGATTTACAAAATATGAATTAATTTAAACGTAATAAAGATTAAATGTCGCAGAGATAAAAATTGATAGTCAAACAATTTAATCTTTTATTATATGGTATTTAAGTTAATTTGTATTTTGTAAATCATATACGACTTATGAAGACTTTGTAAAGTCGAAACTAGTTTCGCTTAATTTTTAATCTACCATATTAAATTTAATTAATATTATTAACATATTAAATTTAATTAATATTATATTAACAATATTTTAACATCCATTATTGTTAACTTGTGTTTGGCCGTTTCTCTCGAGAGCTTATATTGTAATTTCAATAACGAACATTATTTTATTTTATATTAGCAAGTTAAATAATTTGAATAAATTCTTTGCAGTGTTTTAAGACGCTGACTAGTATAATAGGTTGTATTCCGACATTTATTACAAGTATTTAAAATTTATAGTGTATGTGACATACGTTATAGATTTTTAGTACTGTCAGTGAATGTTAAAACGTAGGCATTATTAAAATTATCGCTCAATGTAATACAATTTGTGATATTACTTTTAGTCGTGAAACGTTGCGTTTCAAGTCCGACAAAATGAATCGCCGCAGTTTATTAGAACTGAAAAAAATGTAGTAATATTTACTTAGAAAATATTATTAAGATTTGTAATACATTATATGTATAATAAATATATATACATTATTGTTTAATATTTCGTTAATTAAAATTATATTTGTAGAAGTTACTTAGGCATAACTGTACACTGGATTAATCCTGAAAATTTAGAGAGAGAATCGGCTGCACTAGCTTGTCGCAGGATAAAAGGCAAACATACATATGACGTTTTAGCTCAGGCAATTAATTCAGTCTTTCTCGAATACCACATCCAAAATAAAGTATGTGCTACAACAACTGATAACGGAACAAATTTTGTTAAAGCCTTCCAGTAAGTTTATGGTTATATATTTTAAATTAACGACTCCTTTTATCTCCTTGTGTGGAGCATAGGACGTCTATAGACCTCTTTTGTCCGAGGCCTATATTCGTTTCTCGAATCAGATTGTTTTTCGGATTTGTGGGTGATTGGTCCACAGAATCCTACCTCAGTCAGATATTAGAGACAAATATCTACTGATATGTATACTGATGTATAGGACCTACAGTTTAACGCCGAATCCGAACGGCGCTGATGATCATAGATCTTTTGATCACCAGGTGGAGCCATTTTTTGGCTCATTAAACGCGAAAAATCATCGCGTTTGGGCGCACGTGGGATTGAACTCGGGTCTACAAATCGCGAGTCAATCGCACAGAGCGGTGAGTCACTCGACGCCACATATATTTTATATACTCTTTAAAAAATGTTTTACATTATGTTTTTTAATATATTAATAGATATATCTATATAATTAATATAAATAAAATGTAATTAAATACTACATATGTAATTAAATAAAGTATATAATTAATATATATGATGTTTTAATGTAATTTATAAATAAAAATTATAGAAGTTTCCAGAAGGATGAAGATGAAGAATCTATTAATACAGAATTTCATAGTCTAAGTGATCTTTTGATTACTGATGTGGAAAATATAGATTCAGAAAGTTTATTTAGTCTTCCACCACATCATAGATGTGCGAGTCATACACTGAATCTTATAGCAGTGAAAGATTCTGATAAAGCACTAGACAGTGATGCTGTATACAAGAAGAAATATAGAATGACATTCGCAAAACTAATAAAACTTTGGAATAAGCAAAATCAGTCGACACAAACAGCTGATAAAATAAAGGAAAATTTGGGTGTCTATTTAAAAACTCCTGTAATTACCAGGTAAGAAGATTTTTTTATTGCAGAAGATAGTGGGTTTGTATTCTGAATCTTAGCTTAGCTTATTTTTTCCCTTAGATATTGGCAGTTCGGAATACACCCAGTAAATAAGAAATCGATTTAGTTTTAAGACTGATAATTGATGTAACGCTTTTATCAGCGCGTCGATTGGATAATAAACGTTAGGTCTTTTTCATTAGCTCTGATTATAATTTTGAAATAAAAATTGATTATGAATATTAGTCTTAGATTGAATAGGTTTTATATTTATCTACTATCATCTCTCTCAAATATTAATCATATTGGTTGAAACATTAATTTCTACTTCTCTTCGCGTTTTTATATTTATCATTACTATATATATATATGTATATATAAATGTCTCAATATATAATAAAAACAGTTATTTAAACTTTTACCTCATTTTCTAATCTTTATTTTAATACAGATGGAACTCTACTTTTGATTCAGTACTACAACTAGTAAAACTTTTGAAAAATGATTCCGAAAAAATTAATCAGTGTCTGGATTATTGCAATTTGCAAAGGCTAACAGAAAAAGAAATTAAATTCCTGGAAGAATATTGTCAGGTACATCTAAATAGTAATGTACTAACATGTAAATTTAATAGAATATATCTCACTTTTTTATTTCGATTAGATTATGGAACCTTTGGCCCGAGCCTTGGATATAATACAGGGAGAAATGGGGATGTATATGGGATTTTTACTACCAGTTCTGAAAACTTTACAAGAAAAAATGGTAAAATTCAACAAAAACGGATTTACCCATTGTCAAGCGCTTATTACGGCTATTCAAGAAGGTTTAAATAAAAGGTACTTTGTTAATTTCATTGTGTTCTGTTATTTTTAAATTACAGTTTTATTACATATATGTAGTTTAAAAAAAAAGTCTCATTCTATATTTTTTCTTGTACATCGCACTTTCTCAGAATCTTTCACCGCGATAAGATTCAATGTATGCCTCATTGTCACACGTTTATAATGTGATAAAAGAGTAAACAAACTTTCTGTATCTATATTTTCTACATCCATAATTAAAAGATACTACTTCCATAAAATTAAAAGGATCACTTAAATTGTAAAATTTTCAAATACATGAAATTACTTAATTTATGGTCGTGTATCAATTGTTCACATCACTAATTGGCTAATTTAAAATAATATAATCGCATTAGTGAAACAGTGGAAAATTACTAGGAACCGGCTGATGTGAGTGGTGTGTGCAATTGAGTTATCTGCAAGTGTGCCACTCCCATTAACTTATATTTAATTTATTTTAGATTCTCGACATTATTTGAGGATAAGAACTTAATCATCGCAAGTTCTTTGCATCCGAAATTCAAGTTAAATTGGATAGACGGACAAAAAAAGGAACAAGCTAAAACTTATTTAGAAGAATTATTTGGTATTAAATCTACTGAAAATTCCCCAGCTAGTGAAAAATCCATCGACGATGACGATTTTTTTCATTTTAACCACCAAACAAAAGAAATCGAATCTTTACAAGAAGAATTGTATCGTTTTTTGAAGTCCAATAATTCTAACGTTAACATGTTAAACGAGTATCATAGAATAAAAAAATTCTTTATTAAATATAACACAGCACTCCCAAGTAGTGCTTCTGTTGAACGAATGTTCAGCATTGGTGGTTCCGTAGTAACGCCACAGAGAGGGAATTTACACGATTTACAATCGAATACCAAATTCTGTTAAAAATTAATAAGAATTTTTATTAACATTTTGGATTAGTCAGGGTTGCCACAAGTCAGGGAAATCAGGAAAATATCAGGGAATTTGCCGTCATTTTTCTTGACAGCTTTTTTTTTCTTTTGGAAGTCGATTCTTCAACGTAAAAACCTGCATTTATGTACAATTATTGGAAAGACCGAGATACATTGCAAAATATGAATTATTCTGGGTCAGGGAAAAATCTCAAAATTACGTCAGTAAATCAGGGAAATGTCAAGATATTTCATGATTGCAAATTTGTGGCAACCCTGTTAGAGCTTTTTGCCAATTTTCTTCTTCAATAAAATTTTTATAACATGTAAATGTAAACCAGTCTTTTTTTTAATTGTCCTAATTACTCTGATGACCCTGTGTATTATATTCTTGTAATCTGTGTAATATTCTTATTTAATATTAGGTGAAAAATAAACGATACACAAAGGCAGTTGGGTAACGTTTCTGAATGCAGCCCTAGTATCGATGCTACTAGTGAAAATTCTGATAAAAAAAGTAACTTAAAAATAACTTAAAGTTATTTCTTCAGTAACTGTAACTGTAACGAATTACTTTTCAGAGTCAATAACTTGTAACGGTAATTAATTACTTTTTGAAAGAAAAAACTGTAACTGTAATTAATTATTTTTACAAAGTAACTTTCCCATCCCTGGTTATCAGACGATCAGTAAGTATTCAATGAGATGCAATGATAGTTTATCGAGAAAACGATTTAGGACGCGATAGGATACTTGCATAAATGAATCTAGATTTCATGATTTAACATGATATAACAATCGTCGGACAATCAGTATTCAATGAGATACAATATTATAGATTCGGAAAAACGAGTTAGAACATTATAGGATATTTATATAAGTAAATCCGAATTTTTTTATTGAACATGATAGAAATAGTCGGACAATTAATATTCAACCAGATACAATGCTTGTTTATTGAGGAAATGGGTTCGAACGCGATAGAATACTAACATGAATGAAACAGGATTTTCGTATTGAACATGATAACAATCATCGGAGAATCAGTATTCAATGAGATATAGTATTATAAAACCGAGTTAAAACACTATAGGATTTTCTTATTCATTATGATAGGCGTAGTCGTATGAAAAATTCTGTATATCCGATTTATACGATCAGATACGAAAAATTTGAACCAAATCTCCTATTTAATATGATAAGTACTGATATAAATGAATAACTTTTTATTAATATACATCTGGATAGGAAGGATTAAGTAAATATTTTATTAAAACAGATGGTTTTAAAATCTCGACATTGAGATATATACTAATACTTAAACAACGTGAATTGCGGTATTCAACCTGATATGAAATGTATAACTGGAATTTAGGATCTATTCACATTAACCACGAATATCTCTTTTATCATATATTGTGATAAAGGTCTGTATCTGGATTTCACGATGATGGATACAGAAAACAGGAACCAAATCCCCCATTCAACTTGATACAAAATTTTCCAATCAGATTCTATCTGTTTTCTTGAGCAGGGAGGTTATTAAAACTTTGGTTAACAGAAAACCTTAGGTTAGAGAGTTAGCAGCACCGTTTCTACCAGTATTGAATCTCGTAAGTTTAACTAAACTTATAACCCATGTGATATAACTGTAGGAAACTCAAGAATACTAAATGCTGATTGGTTCAGTGCTTGCTCTAACTGGCTAAACAGATTTTTTATAAATTAAAATTAACAATAAACCTCCCAGGTCAAGAATAAATTGAGCAATAATGGTTGTTAAATATATCTATAAATTTATTATAATGATAACATTAATATACGGTACGTTTCGACTTCACAAAGTCCTCATCAGCCGTAAAAAAAACCCCTTAAAAGATGAAACCAATTTCCTCTTAAGACATCCGAAATTACTACGATCGCACTATATATCCTAACTGTGCAGATGGTCACACGTTAGTGACAAAGATTCAATACATATCCAGTCAACCAGACCCCCCCCTCCACCCCACCCACATGTTTACATTTCTATCCATCGTCAGAAACACGTTTAAGCAAATGAACATATATGTCATCGAGAGATTCAGTATCCTTTTTCAAATTAATACTATTTAACTGTTCTTTTATAGGTAATGTCTCTGATATTAATCTCTTATTATAATTAGATTCGGAGTCCATAATTTTCGTATTCTTCCAGTCAAAGACATGATTGCACTCTAATGCATGGTTTGTTAAAACTGAATGTCTAGATGCATCAAGTTTTCTATTATTTATATGTTCATTTACTCTAGTACTTAATTTCCTCTTTGTCTGTCTTACATAAGTCACATTACAGTTCTCACATGGAATCTTATATACAACATTATTACTATTACCTTTTTCTTTTTTATCTTTAAGTACTTTAATAAATCTATCCAACTTATTCAAACACCTGTAACCAATACTATAGACTGATTCATTGAACATATGAGTAATTGAATATGTTACACTATTTATAAATGGAAATACGATGAACTTTTTCTTATTTAAATCTTTATTACTTTCTTCCGACTTATCACTGAATGTGGAAGTAATTTTTTTAGTTTGTATCAAATTTTTAATTCGTATACTAAATTGTTTGAAAATTAATTCCAGCGGATATCCATTATTTAAAAGGATTGAAATACATTTTTCTAAATTTTTCTGATGAAATTTAGGATGTGATAGTAATATCGCTCTGTCCACCAGGCCATAAATTGCGCCATGTTCAAACAATTTAGTATACGAATTAAAAATTTGATACAAACTAAAAAAATAGCTAGGATTTTATATTGTACACTTTTGCTGAAAATGACCAAAACCAATGGCCGAAATGTCCAAATATATTTGTACTTTTAAATTATAGTAAAGTATAATCAATATATAAAAACCTATGTAGTCAAACATTATACATTAGTATAAAGGCAAATAGAGTCAAAGTTAGTTATAATTTAACAATACTTATTTAATATCATTCATGATCTAAACGATTAAGAACAATTCCGTATATTCCTTTATACCAATGTATAATGTTTGACTACATATGTTTTTATATATTGATTATTAATTGTGAGACTCGTTAACTTGATATTGTATCTATTAATATTTAAAGTTTTTAAATTTTAATTATAGTAAAGTATATTTTAGAATTTAATTGTGCGCTTGTCTTACTGCGCTGATTCCTAAACAGCCGCTTAAATTATTATTGTTACTTAATTATAAGGAGTCCAATTATATATTTTTTCAATTATTTTAATAATATTATTGATTGTAATTTATTCCCACACACTTAATAATATAATACACATTATATTACTCTTATATAGGATTACACGTTAAATGGGAAATTATATGCAATATACAACAATTGTATACCTATTTCTTAGAGTTTGTTTGGAACGCAGATGAATTACAATAGAATAAATATTGCGCAAGTGGAGTAGTAAATAATCTCGCACGTCAGTACTTGTTGGCAGTGACGATCAATTCGTAAGAGAAAGAAAAATGCATCGCTATATAATTATTAATAATTAGGTATAAAGAAAATTCATCTTTTTACTGTGGCATGTTTTGCCGGCATTTATTCTTCGTGTCTAGCAAATAAATAACTTTTCCCTCGAGCGAGTATAAAGATTACAAAGTTCACGATAGCTGGTCGTTATTTTGTTATGTACATATTTTTAAGTAACTGTTATTTTAAGAAATTACTTTAAGTAACCGCGATTATCAGAGAAAAAAAAATAGTTAACGGATTAAACAGTTATTTGATTTTGTTTTTAAAATCACAATTTTAGAAAATTACCAGATTAGTTTAAAATCTCAATTAACTTGTAATGCGATATCTTGTAATCGTTCACAACTTCAATTGTTTGTTACAAACACTGTGTCAAGATCGAATAACTAATAATTTTCATAAGAACAATAACTGTTTAATTTATAATAGTATTGTGATCGTTAAACATTTAAATTGTTTCCTACAGTATTGCGCGGTAAATTATACATTGTACGTGTTACAAGGTTTCTTTTTCTCAACATTTAAATAGTGATTCTTTATGTACCTTAAACTGCTAAAAAAGAATACATAAAGTTAAAAATTTTCCAACCAAATTTTGAAAAATCAAAGACTTCCTTTTTGGAAAGACTTTATAAATTTAAACAATTTATAACTTCTTTTTACTATAATGGGTAAAATAAATAAGAACAACCACCTCTAGATGTTGAGAAACAGAAACATTATAAATAGAAGATTAGACATTTAATATTGCTAATAAATTTTTATTATTATTTAAAATTATGTAAGCAATAAAATGGATTTTATACATACCAATTACCATCACATTTATTTTTATACATATCTATATTATTATTATAAAAATACATTTAAATTTTTTATAGCTATTATACATTACATATAATATAAATTTGCTTTATTATGTAAGAAATTTAAAGTTTCTAAAAACTGAATGGTAATACAATTTTTTTTTTAAAGTATATCTTATTTTAGTAAAAAAATCATATAAAAAAACATTAAGAAAACAATTATAATATATGCAGTAACTTCTTACATTTGTTATTATAATCGTTTTGTTATTATTTTGATGTAATATTTTTTTTTAATGCACGATTATTTCTACCAATATAGATTAACTTCAATCTCGGTTCAGTTAACTCTTCATCTTTCTAATTTTAAAATTAGTATAATAAAAAAACACAAATTATTAGATTATATTTATGTATTATTTCATTTATTCACTGTTAGTCAACACTTCACGCGCGCGCGTGGCGAATCTTCTGATTTCTCAATATTTAATTCAGCTACTCCCTCCCTTTTTCTTCTTCTTCAACGTCCATACCTGATGTATATATATGTATATCTGCGCGAGTCTCGAACCTGCAGTCGTTATTGTTGCGTAGAAAGATAAAGAAATCTGTTGAGATATACAAATCACGCATGCGTATAAACTCTAGTGTTGTATCACTTTTTCAAAAATGACGCCTTCATTTCACCAACAAATTAGAGTGACTCTCCCTAAACTCGTTTAAACCATTAATAATTTAAACAGTTCAACATCGATTTCAGAAAACTTCGTGAAAAGAAATAAAGAAAACGCATGCCTTTCACCGCCTGAACACGTGTTTTTTTCGAGCGCGCACGACCAAGGCGACGAAACCCTTCTCCGGTTGTTCTTCGTATGATTTCGCGGATCACTTTCTCGTAAGACGCTCGAGTCGCACGAACCGTGTCTAAAAAGAAAAAAAAAGTGTGTTAGAGAGAAAGAGTAAGAAAAGAAAGAGAAAGCCTAGGTAAAAGGAGAAATAGGTGGCGTACTACGACGCCTATTCCTGTAAAATAGTTCGCAAATACATTGCCCGCAAACCACGCAAACTTCACGTCGTCGCGGTGCTGATAGTCACTAATAGTGATTCGACGTCCGACATTAGTAACATGAGCAAAACAACAAATCAAGATGAGACCCATATGACAACGGTAAGATCTTATCATCAATGATTACACGTTATACAAAATTCGTGTATTATCGCAAGAAACGATTATAATGTATGTGTCGAATATATTAATATTCACGAGCTCCACGAACGATGGGAAAGAAAATCAAACTGGAATCTCTCATGTCAAGTTTTATTACAAACGCTTATTTCCACTGAAGCCAATAATCGGGCCGATCAATACTGGTTTTCTTTTCAATTTTTATTTTTTTATTTTTTTAAAGAAAGGAACTATGTCGATCTACACCAATCTGCACGATCGACTTTAGTGGGAACGAACCTTTAGATGTTCTAAAGTTTATATTATGAAATATTATTGATAAGTAATTAACTCGCTTTCTTATTAATACGATTCTCCTTATTATCTTCTGTACAGTCGTTTATACTTATTAACATAATTGTTACATTATATTATTGCATTATGACTCTTATTATATATGTATAATATATATGTATAATATACGACCTTATCTTTTTATACGTGAGGATTCCACAGTTTTAAGATATTTAAATTTTAATATAATGTGCTTTTAAATTAAATACTGTAATGAGCTTTTAAATTAAATACAATTTCTAAAAATATTTTATCAACATTATTTTGGGAAATTTGTAATGTGCAAATGTTGATTATTTCAAAGCGCGGAATTCAATTTAAATCGCGATATTTTTCGAGTTTAAATCAGCGGCATATAATGTATGTATTTATTTATCCCCATCCGGTGATATACGCAAAAAAATATGTATTCTTACTTGATTGCTTGTATTTTAATAAATTATTAGAAATTATGTCGTGTCATACAATCCTAGTAATTTACTAGAACGGAAGTAATCTAGCAAGAATGTATCGTATACCGCTATAGCTAATGTGAAATTTATTTCGTTTCCTCTTTCGGAAATAGAATTCCTCGCGCGTCGCGGTACAAAAATTTTAAATGATTTTAAATGATTTCGATTTAAGCGAAAGAGGTTATTATGAAAAAAAAAAAATATATAATATGTATCATTAATTGAGCCCCTTAGTTGCCAAGTGGCATAAGGCTTATGCTTATAAGGCCGACTTATACCATGTGTCAACTAAGGGGCTCAATTAGAATAACGAAAGTTATTGCGTTAATCCTTTGATAACAGATCAGACTGTAACATTATTAGATAAGCAATATTTTTGAAAAAAAAAAAAACCTAATTGCTGTCTGTGTTCAAAACAGAAGTCAGTGTTTATATATGTGTTGTATATGTATGTATATACACGTTTCTATATGTATATATATAGGAGGGAAATAATTGAAACGTAAAATCTTTCATTTTCCATATATAAAGAATAATATAATGTAAGTACTTTATTCCGTTGCAGTCTGAATTAATTCAAGCTCATGGTTATATAGCTGAGACTCACCAGATTTGCACGGAAGATGGTTATTATTTAACAGTGCATCGTGTACTTCCTAACGATCGAGTACCATCAATGTCAATAAATACTGACATCATAAATATCGATGCAGCTGTTATAGAGAGTGAAAATCATAATTTGTCAGTATCTGCTGAAAGTTATCAACTCTTGGAAACTTCCGGATGTTATATCAGTTCCTCTAGATTGCCAGTTATAATAAGTCATGGACTTATATCTAGTTCTGCGGATTGGGTGCTCCTGGGACCACACAAGGCTCTCGGTTAGTACTTATCAATAAATATAACTATATATTTTTGCATTTTCTTAATTTTTGTATTTATTTTTACATTTTTGTTATTTATTTCAGTTGTTTGATACTCTAACAATAAATACAGTCTGTTCAACAAGAACGGGCTGTTTCTTTGTAGATCGCCAATCGTATTTGGAATCAAGCAATCGTTGTCTAATAGTATTAAGGCTCACATCTATACCCTTTTTTAATAAAAGATTTTTCGCTTGTCGTAATGAATACCCAGGATTCTTCTCAAATATCTTGATGACAGATTTGTCGTCCTTTTTCATCGTTGACCGTTGGGTGCCACGATCAGGCAGGTCGTCGACATTTTTTGTTTCGTTTTGTAACGTTTCACCCACTTCCTGACAAATCCTTCTGACTTTTTCATGTAGCGTCCGGCAGCTGCATACGACATTTTCGCCATTTTCGGTCCTTTTTCGGATGTGTGCAAAGGAACACTGCTTCAAAACGACTTGCATACACATACACAGCACTCATTGTGGTTATTTGCTCAGTCAAAACAAGTCACATTACCCATATAACCTTAAAGCATTCTTCCAAACTGTTCAGAGAAATCGGAAAAATCAAACTTAACATCTGTGCATCATCTATTAATGAAGTGCGGAATCGTACGCTTTTATTGAACAGACTGTAATTATTATTCGTCACATCAGAATACTATAAATATTTTAGAATTTATTAATATGTCATATAACTTTTCATATTGCAGCATATGTTCTTTGCGACAATGGATACGATGTTTGGCTTGCAAACGCTCGTGGAAACACTTACTCCAAATCTCATAAACATTATTCAATCAAAGATAAAGAGTTTTGGAACTTCAGGTAATCAAGCAACTTAAAATAATAAATTAGTAAAGTAATAAAAATGTAAAAAAATAATAGCATTGTATCTAAAAATAATAAATATTTCTGTTACAGTTGGCATGAGATTGGATATTATGATTTACCAGCAACAATAGATTACATCTTAGAAAACACTGGTTGTTCCAACTTGTATTATATCGGTTACAGTCAAGGTGCAACTTCGTTCTATGTTATGGGGAGTGAAAGACCTGAATATAATGCCAAGATCAAAGGAATGATAAGTTTGGCACCTGCAGTATTTTTAGGGAATCAAAAAAGTTCATGTTTGAAGCTTCTTGCACATCTTCACAGTATATGGGAGGTAATGTAATGTTTTTCTGTTATTTTTCTGATTTTTTCACGAAATTACATCATATTATTCGGCTTAAATGTATTTCAGTGGGGATCTTACGTTTGCAACATATATCAATGGTTACCTCGTAATAACTGGCAAAGTTGTATATTGAAGACCTTTTTAAGCAACGCTCCTCACCCGATGACGAAGGGTTTCTGTAATTGTTGGTTTTATCTATTCGGTACCGAACAACTCGATAAATCTATGTTACCTTTAATATTTGGACACTCCCCAGCAGGTTCTTCGGTCAAACAATTCATTCACTTTAGCCAGTTAATAACCACCGGTAAATAATATATAATTCACAATCAATGCATGTATAAAGAATCCTACATCCACGCATTATATGAGAAAAATAACGATTGAATTAGATCCCGGAAAAGATATAAGGTTCAATAACGTTAGTTTTTTAATTGAAGGTATATCAAAGGTGCTCTATGAGCACAAGTTTTATGTCTGATATACTTTTATATTTGATAGTTCAAAAATTATCCACCATTGAGTCTTCTATTCTACAACATTTTTTTTCATCACATTATAAAGCTATAATATACATATATATGTACATATATTATATGTGAAAATTATTAACTCATATTTTATTGGGATCTAATTTTTCATATGATTAGTGCAAGCTCCTATATTGTTTATTAGCATCATATCTTCAAAAGTTATAATTGAAAGCGAGTTCCGATTTTACCCAAGAGTTCTACAATCTTCAGTATTTAAACAAAAAATGTATAATTAAAAATAATTAGATATATAAAAAAGTAAGAATTGAAAGATCGATATATATCATATGATATCGATATATCTTTTGCTAAACGTAGTTCTTATACATATTATACATATAGTATGTATATATGTACATATACATATGTTATACATATATATGGTACATATACGTATACATATACATATAAAAGAACTACGTATGTTTAGCAAGGTAGACACTTTTTTCAGTTTAAAAAATAAAAAGAGTTGTTTATGCTGAGACTTGTACGTTTTTATACACATTCCGAGCCCCGATTCCTGCGGGCGCCGCCTCCTATCCCCCCACTACCCCTGGATACTCGGCGGCCTAGCAGCGCCGCGCGCGCGATCGGCAGCTAGGCCGTCAAAGCCGCTGAGCATCGGCGGTAATGGGGAGATAGAGGAGGCGGCGCCTGCAGGAATCGGCTCGGAATGTGCAGATCTTTACGAGCACTGATATAATCTATGTAAGATATAATATAATTGTTATTTTCCATCAGGATCTTTTCGGAAATTTGATTATGGTACTAAAATAAACTTGACTCTCTATGGATCTACACAACCACCTAAATATACTCTTGAAAGAGTAAAAGTACCTGTAGTGATCTTTTACAGCGAAAATGACTTTATTAATCATCGTACTGTAAGATCTATATGTATAATACTATTTTAAAATGTATACATTTTTATGCTGTATAATATAATATTACTGCGTACATGTATAATACATATATGTATACATAGATATATTATACATGTATTATATTATATCTTATCTTTTACTTCATAACATTTTCATAATTGTTTCAGAATGTCCAAAAACTGGCAGAAAATTTACCAAATGTTATACAAACTGAAAAAATAGCATACGAAAAATTCAATCATATCGATTATCTCTGGGGCCGCGATGCAAGAACAATCTTGTATAACAATATCGTGACTGTAATGAAGAAATTTTGACGTATCGAGATTGTAAACAATTGTTAATTTTGTACTTACATATACAGGGTGTCTCAGAAAGACCGGAAAGTATTACATGAACAGGTAGAACGGACTGAACTGAGTCGAAAAGTCCTCTACCGTTTTGCAATTTTCGCAATAGTCAACGAGATAATAATTGGTAAAAATTATCGAATACGTGCGTCCGCCCGGCCTACTACCGCCAACAGTGTACGTCCATAATAGCTCGATGGCGCGCGGACCGCGGAGAGCGGGGACTGCCTGGCAAGCGCGCCGCTGTCTGAGTCACGACGATTGGGGCTCGCGGCGCGCGGCGTTGTGAGCTGTTGTGAGCAGTGAGCGCTTACTAGACAGTCCCTGCTCTCTATGGTCTGCGCGCCATCGAGTTATCATGGGCGGGTAAAAATGCATAAAAAGGGAGGTCAGCGCTATGACCTTGACCTTGATATATGTTGTCAAGGTCATGATTCTGAGTGACCTCCAACAAGTTTTAACGTAAAAAGTCGAACACGTGCAACAGACATGTCCAACAGTTAGGTTTTATTGAAGGACTTATTTTGTTAATAATTACTTAACGAATAGAGCGAGCGACGGTTAAAACTTGTTGCAGGTCACTCAGAGTCATGACCCTGACAACATACTCGTATATCAAGGTCAAGGTCATAGCGCTGGCCTTCCTTTTTATGTACTTTTACCCATGGGCATACATTGTTGGCAATAGTCGGGCAGACGCACGTATTCAATAATTTTTACCAATTATTTCGTTGACTATTACGAAAATTGCAAAACGATAGAGGACTTTTCGACTCAGTTCAGTCCGCTCTACCTGTTCATGTAATATTTCCGGTCTTTCTGGGACACCCTGTATAAATAACTCAGGAATATTATTATATTTCATGTGTAAACACATAAATTAGTACATTATGTAAAAAAATTATGACTATCTACAAAAATAGAAATACTATTTTTGTGTTTATAATATTTGTATATATTTAAATATGTAAAAATAAAGTATGTTTATATATACAGGAATAATACATTTAGTAGTTTATAAACTGCAGATAGAATACTTATATATTTTTATATGCTTATAAAAGCTTATAAAGGAGAAAATATTTTTGATAAATTTGTTATGTATACAGGGAGGGGGATTTAAAACAGGTCATCATCTGAATAAGTCGCTTCCGCTTGTTTTTAACAATAGAAGAAAAAATGTCAAACAAAAGTTGCTTGGTTTCGAGGGGCACATAATAATGTAACATCAATAATTGTTTTGCGGAAGCGTAAAGGATAGGCAAAGGTCAAATCTGTTTTTTTTTTTAATTAAATGGAATGATATGTTTTTTTTTACTTTTTTTTTGTACATTCTGATAGAGCAATTTAAGATGAATACAATGACTTATAATTGAAGATCATTTAAGGTTACGCAAGGTCAAGGTAAAGAAAAATAATTCTTTTCATAGCACTAGAGAATGATACTTTTCTGCATGTACTTGCGTACACAAATGATAAACGGCGTGTCATACAGATTCTTAAATCGAGAAATAATTTTTTGACATTTTTATAGCAAGGAACTGATAAAGTGCTTAGAAAAGACGCAGTTTTCATTTTTCTTTTTTTGAGTAACAATTGTCTTTACAAAAAACATCTTGGTATATGGATAGATCGATATATTCGTTCGGTTTTTATTAGTAGTGCAAATTTTTTCCGAATATCTCCGATTCTAATTGCCTAATCGGGCAATCAAAATATTTTGGAAAGGTGACAGTCCGCTCTTTTCATCTGTCAAAATTGGTTTCGTTGGCATTAGTTTTGTTTGTGCTACAGGCCTGTGAACATGTCGGAGAATAAGGTGCATTTTCGGCATATTTTGCTTTATTGCTTCAAGAAAGGCAAGCGAGCTGCGGAGGCCCACCGAAAGATATGCGGCGTATACGGGGACGATGCTTTAACAGAACGTGCCGCTCAGAAATGGTTTGCCAAATTTCGTTCCGGAGATACGAGCCTTGAAGATGGATCCCGCAGCGGTCGGCCCACTGAGGTTGATTCGAATGATATCAAGGCACTGGTTGAGCAAGACCGGACGCTAAAGGTGCGAGAGATTGCGGAGGCACTTAAAATAGGTTATGGAACCGTTCAAAAGCATTTGCAACAGCTTGGCTACGTGTTGCGCCTCGATGTTTGGGTGCCGCACAAGCTGACCGAGGAGAACCTGGCCAACCGCATATCCATCTGCAATTCACTTCTGAAGCGGCATGAAAGCGACCCGTTTCTCAAACGAATAGTGACTGGCGACGAAAAGTGGATCATCTACGACAACATAATGCGCAAGAGATCGTGGGGAACCGCTGGTGAGCCGCCGAATGCCACCCCGAAGGCCGGCCTGCATCCGAAGAAGATTTTGCTATCCATATGGTGGGATCATCGTGGTGTTTTATGAGCTGCTTCCTCAGGGAAAAACGATCGATTCGAAGGTCTACTGCACGCAGCTAACGAAATTGAATCAAGCATTGCGACAGAAACGTCCAGAATTGGTCACTCGCAAAGGTGTCATATTCCACCATGACAACGCCAGACCCCACACCGCAATAATCACTCAGCAAAAATTAATGCAACTTGGCTGGGATGTTTTGCCCTACCCACCGTATTCACCAGACCTTACGCCATCCGACTACCACTTATTCCGGTCCCTGCAAAACTCCCTCAACGGGAAATCGTTCGCTGATCAGACAGCTGTGAAAACGTACCTCGACCGATTTTTCGATTCTAAGCCCCAGACCTTCTATGAGAGCGGAATAATGAAATTGTTGGAAAGATGGCAAGAGGTCATCAATAAAAACGGAGAATATATCATTGATTAAAATTCATCCTTTGTATGAAAAAAAAAGTTTCATTTTAGCCTTCAAAAACCGAACGAATATATCGATCCACCCATAATATACCTATGTATAATTTTAAAACGAATTAAACTCACTGATCTCTATTATACACTGGATAGGATATAGGTGGAAAAATCTGTGATTTTATTTGGAGGGGGCTGGTATGCATTTGCAAACAGCCAATCACGATATTGGTCACTCGTGTTCAGTCGGATATAATCGGACGTCTCCGGATACTCGGTCGGCCTGCCAAATACATTAAAAATTTTCGATAGGTTACGTACAAATTTTGTAACGATAATAAAAGTAACAGCAATTAGTGAAGTGAGTTATGGCGCTGTGTTTTTACAAAAAACACTCTGTTTTTATCCAATACTCAAATAAACAGCCGGGAGCTAGTTTCTTATATGGCTAAATGGAGTAAATTTAAAATAATTTAGTTGTAAAATTAAGATGGTACAACAAAATAAAATGAAAAATTGAATTATTTACATTTTTAACTTCAACTTTATTAAGGAAAAAATAAGGACCGAATGGGATTCGAACTTCCATATACATCGATAAAAAATCCGACGCTTTGTTCGATTGAGAAATGGAGCATCTTTGAACATTTGTGTAGTTATTGAATTTGCTCAGCTGATAGCAGAGGAGCTTTGTTTGTATGATTATTAATCAGTTAAAACAATTTTGTTTTGTACATTCTATTACTTAATTGAAAAAGCGTTGCCACAACTAACAAAACTGGTAACTATTAAAGTTTGCATAAACAAAATAATAAAATTCGACTTCTAACTCAATTTGTTTGAATAGATCACAAAACTAATTGACCACCATTAAACGTTAATTAAAACGTATTTGCATAATAAATAATTGTAAGCTGTTTGTCTCTTAAGTTTGTTCTGATTTATTGTTGTTCCTTATTTCAGAGGCTACAAAATATTAATTACGATGAAATGTTTTTTATTATCATTTAGTTAAAGAATGATATTTAATGTTATTTCAAGAGAAAATGACGATTTCTTATCATTCAACTATGCTCCAGTGACGATGTAAAGTTCAAATGCGGTATTTGTACGTTTGAATCTCAACACCGCCGCGGGTTGACTCTGATTGGTTGTTTGCCAGATTTTACCAAGTTTTCTCAAAATGGCGGTCACCCAACCGTCACACAATTTTATACAGGGAATGGTATCCTATATCCTATCCAGTATATATTAGAGATCAGTGATTAAACTCTGTTCTAAAAAAATTCTCGATTATTTCCCAATTTTTGCAGTCGAGATAATATACCTAGTATATACCTAATTTGGGGGGACTGTATATTAATAGAACGTTATTTCCTACTTTGGAAAAATATTGCGAAGAATATCACGTAATTTTTTGGCGTTTCGTCCCGGTTTCCACTACTGGACTCATCAGTACGGCATTGGTTTTATACGCCTTGGTAAGTTATTAAGGGCGACTGTTACCAACGCCGATTAACTTAATCGTCGATTAAGTTAATCGGCGTTGGTAACAGTCGCCCTTAATAACTTACCAAGGCGTATAAAACCAATGCCGTACTGATGAGTCCAGTAGTGGAAACCGGGACGAAACGCCAAAAAATTACGTGATATTCTTCGCAATATATAATATTAGAATAAATTATCAGATTTAGATTTAAAATTGTAATTTGATTCTTATTCGCCCTGTTTAACGTATTAATTATTATAATATACCTAGTATTAATTTCTAAAGCTTTGAATATCTGCCATCGATAGCTTAGGGAGTGGGGAGTGGGGACTGCCTAGCAAGCGTCCCACACCGCATGGTCGAAGTAACAGGTCTGCTATTGTGCAGCCTTTTATGTCTAGCCAATAGCAAGCAAGACTGAATTCCGCCATATTGCGCGTATATATGTATATGAAACATATTTAAAAATGATTTTGTGTGCAGACACATACACATAAAAAATGGCGGAATTCAGTCCTGCGCAGAACCGGACGAATATTTGTCATGGATACGAGCAGACCTTGTTACTTCGACATAGAGTCCCTCTAGTAAGAGTTAAGTGTTAGATATAGATTAATACAAGATTACATTTTTCATTTGTTTAAATAGCGCGCTCATTAATTATTAGTTATCCTTTTTCGAGCGACCATGTTTGTATAATTTTCTTTTACTTTCAAAAGTTGGCATTCCCTATTTACTTGACTCTCAGCTCCCTC